TTTTGCATCTATCCTGTCAAGTTCCCTAAGAATATTCTATGTTTCAATAAGGTCACCTCTTTTTCTTCTAAACTCCAATGAGTACAGGCTCAATCAACTTAACCTTTCCTCATATGACAGCCCCTCCATACCTGGTATCAGCCAAGTGAACCTTCTCTGGACTACCATCAATGCTGGTATATCTTCCTTATACAAGACACCCAAAACTTTTCACAGGATTCCAGCTGTCTTCTGACTAATGCCTTTGTCCAGTTTTAGCAAAACCTCACTACTTTTATATTCCATTCCCTTTGAAAGGAAGGCCAGCATTCTTGTTGCTTTCCTTATTATTCAGTAAACCTGGATGCCAGCTTTTTTGATTCATGGACAAGGACTTACAAATCTCTCTACTCTGCAGCTTTCTGCAGTCTTTTTTCACTGAAATAATATTCAGCTCCTCTATTCTTCCTGCCAAAATGCATAACCTCACATTCCCCACATTATATTCCAGCTACCAAATTTATTCACACTCACTTAAACCCCTCTGCAGACTCTTTGTTTCATCATCACTTGCCCTTGCACTCATTTCTATGTCATCTGAAAACCTGGCTGTAGTTCATTCACTTTCTTCATGTCATTAATATATATTGTAAATAATTGTGACCCAGCATTGATCCTTGTGGCACACCACTATTCACACGTTGTTGTCCTGAGAATGCCTCCCTTATCTGAACACTCTCTCTTCTATTAGTTAGCCAGTCCTTGATCCATGTTAGCACTTTTTATTTAGTGGTAGGTATTATATTGGTTCACTGTCCTTTTGGGCGTTGAATATTTTGAATACAATTAGTGTCTTCTGCAATGAAGACTGATGCAAATTACTTATTCAACTCCTCTGCTATTCCCTATCTCCCAGCCTCATTTTATGACAGCCTTATGTTCACTTTGGCTTCTCAAGGAGTCATAGTCGTACAGCACAGAAACAGACCCTTTGGTTCAACCATTCCATGCCAAACATAATCCCAAAGTAAACTAGTCCTACCTGCCTGCTGTTAGCCCATATCCCCCCAAACCTTTCCTATTCATTTACCCAATTAAATGTCTTTTAAAAATCTAACATAAGTGAAATATAATAACGGTAACAAAACATTTTTTTTCTTTATTCATTGGATTAGGGTGTCGCTGGCCAGGCAGCGTTTATTGCCCATTCCTAATTGCTCAGAGGGCAGTTGAGTCAACCACATTGCTGTGGGTCTGGAATCACATGTAGGCTAGACTGGGTAAGGACATTAGTGAACCATATGGGTTTTTCCAACAATGATTCACAGTCATCATTAGACTCTTAATTCCAGATATTTATTGAATTCAAATTCCACCATCTGGTGGGGTGGAATTTGAATCCGGGTCCTCAGAATGTTATCTGAGTCTCTGGGTTAACAGTCCAGCAATAATACCACTAGGTCATTGTCTCCCCTTCTTTAACTAAACTTGCAATCCCAGGAGCAGCTGCAAGATGTACGCTGCCTCCCAGGTGTTTCTCTCTTCCTTTTCATATATTTAAAGAAGCTCTTGCTGTCTGTCTTGATATTACTTGCAAGTTTACTCTCAATGTTTATTTTCACCCTCTATTATTTTTCTGGTTGTCTTTTGTTGGTTTTAAAAATTTTCCCAATCCTCTGACTTACTACTAACCTTTGTTACATTGTATATTATTTTCTTTCAACCTAATGCTGTCGTTAACTTCCCTGGTTAATCATAGTTGGATTATCCCCGTCCAAGAATCCTTCTTCCTCACTGGAATATATCATTGTTGTGAGCTGTGAACTCTTCTCTGAACTATCTGCTTTTGATCCCCAACTCTTTTTGCTCCTAAACTCCATTCCCAGTCCACTCCAGCTATCTCTGCCCCCATTTCTTTGTAATTGCCCTTATTTAAGCTTAGAACAATTATTTTGACCCAAGTCCCCCCTCTCAAATTAAATGCTAAATTCTACCATGTTGTGGTTGCCATTTCCGAGGGGTTCTTTTACTCTGACATCAATTATTAAGCCTGCCACATTACACGTTACCAGATCCAAAATAGTCTTATCCCTGGTTGGATCCACAAAATATTGTTCTAGGAAACTGTCCTAGATACAGTTTACAAATTCTTCATCATGAATTTATTCTGACTATCCCTCTGACTAAGAAAATCAAAGTCACCCATGATTTATTATGTACTGCCTTTGTCACATGCCCTCATTATCTCTTGATTTATTCTCTTTTCCACTGTGTTGCTATTGTTAGGGGGTCTGTAGACTACTCCTTGTGGTATCTTCTTCCCCTTTTTATTTCTTACCTCCATCCATGTGGATTCTACATCTGCTGATCCAAGATCTCTTGTTGCAATTGTACATATTCTACCTATACCAACAATTCTACACTAGCACCCTTTTCTTTCTGCACGTCCTTTTGAAAAGTCACCTATCCGAAGTCATACTTAGTTCCCAGCTCTGATCTCCTGTAACCATGTCGCTGTAATGGCTATAATATCATGTCTATTAACCTGTATTTGTGTGGTTAATTAATTATTTTTTTTTCTGAGTACAATGCACATTCAAGTAAAGAACATTCATTTTGTCTTTTTACCATATCTCCCCTTTTGATCCTATTTGCAGATGTATTTTCTAATGTTTGTATACACTGTCCCACTCTTGGTATTGCTATATAAATAATGCCCTGTAATGTTGCTCTGTCCTCTTGCTTTATAAGCATACATTTCCCCTCTTCTGAATGTTAACCCCTATCACCCCCACACCAATTAGCAATTAATTCAAAGCTTTCTCTACAGCCCAGTTACATGATTGCCAGGACACTGATCCCAAGATGATTCAAGTGAAGCTTATCTTACTAAAACAGCTCCCTTCTACGCCAGTGCAGGTGCAATGTCCTACAAGCTGAAAACTATTTCACCCACACTAATCTTTGAGCCACACATTTAACTCCGGGTCTTTATTTACCCAATTCCAATTTGACCTTGTTTCAGGTCATTGGGAAGCATGAGAATTATGGTGCATGAATGGGAAGAGAAACCAACATGGATGATTTTCATACTTTGTTGCTTTGTGAGATGGAGCTGTATGTAAGTTAGTTTATAACCAGACTAAAATTCTGAAAATACTCATTGGATGTAAAGCCAATGCACAGGACATACAAGGCTGGAAAGGTGCTATATAATGCAAACCTTAATCATCTCCTCTGTTATCCTATAATTATATTGCAGGGCTCAATTAGATGCTTGGCTGCTTTTACACACTGGTGCAGGGCTGGATGAACACAGCAGGCCAAGCAGCATCATAGGAGCAGAGAGGCTGACGTTTCGGGCCTAGACCCTTCATCAGAAAAGGGGGAGGGGAAGGGGGTTCTGAAATAAATAGGGAGAGAGTGGGAGGCGGATAGAATACTGTCAGGTCTATACGTTGCCCTATAGGTTAAAATAGTTCTGTGATCCTACATAAATGATTCTACATCAATGAATGATATTTCCTCCCAAATCACCTCATTCTTGCATTCTTACCTTGTATGGTAGTTCCTAATTCTACCCAGTCACTTCAAATGGTTGGACAAACTTTATTTCACTAAATGTCCATATTTTTGGCAGTTTGTTGGACAAGACAGTGATTTGAATCCCTGATTCAAGGGTACTTATCAATTTCGTGTCATTAACTCCAGTAGAAATGCCCTATCTGAAGTGGAAAATTGGCTTCAAATGACGTGTTCGTGATAAGAAAACTTGAATTTATACAGGAACAAAAACAGAAGTTGCTGGAAAAGTCAGCAGGTCTGGTAGCATCTGGTAGCATCTGTGAATAAAAAATCAGAGTTAACATTTTAGGTCCGGTAACCCTTCCTCAGAACTGATGGTTGCTGGGAAAATGTTGGTTTATATGCAGAAAATAGGGAGGGGGATGGGGCAGGGAGTAAATGATAGGATAAAAGATAGAGCCCGAAGAGAGAGAACAGCAGCTGGATAGACAAAGGAGTTGATAACAATCGGGCTAGGATGCTGTTAATGGGGACTGTTAGTGACTGTCAATAGGTAATGTGTAATGGCAGGCTATGTGATATTTTATATTTTATACAGTTTCTTTTGTGTTCACAGATTATCTCTAAGAGTTTATTCAGCATTTTTGGAGTGTAGTCATAGTCGTGATTCATGGCTGTGGATTCGTATTCAGCAAATTCCCTCAGACATCAAAATGATAATGTATTTATGATGTTGAGTGAAGTATAGATATTGGTCAGGATACTGGTGATAACTCTCCTGCCATTTTTTGAAAGAATGCTATAAGATCTTTTAGGTCCACTTGAGGCAAATGGGGCCTCTCTTTAATATCTTATCAGAAACAACCTACCTCCCATAGTACAGCACTCGTCTGGTATTACATTGGAGTGCTTGGATCCTGAAGTGGGACTGTGTAGTGATCAAGTGGTCCCCTATATTTTGTTTTGAGTCTTGCCATAGCTAGGTTACAAGAATGTTGACGCTAGAGGAAATATGGAAGCGATTTTGAACAACACAGTGGGACTTCATAAAATATTTCTCAGGTGAAAAGACAGATTTAATTTTTTTTTTCTATGCTGTTGAGAACTAATTTACTCTCTATCTCCATGCCTTTTGTTGCAGCCATGCTACTTATTACCATCACCACTTTCATCACCCTAAGTTGGTTAGGCATCTCAGAATGAAAAAAAAGACTCATTATTCTTACTAACACAGTGGATGAATCTACTCACCATAGTCTGCAATAGTTCAAGAAATCAGCTCACCAAGGGCAGAAAAATGCTGGTCTAGGTGAATGGGTTACAAATACACCAAAGGGTTATTTGTAGCAGCTTAGCTGATAGCGTGAGATAAAGCAGGGAAGGAGGAGAGTTGTTGGAGCTTAAACACTAGCATGGACCAGTTGGAAATATTTAACTCATCTTCATTCTATGAAAGCTATATTATACTTCTGCATTTCACCTTCCTTTCTACTTACCATTGTGATAAAAATGCCAAACTCTGGATTCAGTGATACATTATCTCCATCGGTGAAGATAAAATTTCGTTTTCTTTCTTTCCTTGCCACAAGAACAATATAAATCTGTTGAGCTGCTACTGATAATACAGGCAGCTCAATTCTATTAAATTCATCAAAGCAGCCCCAGGAACCAGACTGTGCCAAACCTAGTGGAAAGAAAAAACAAAATTATTGACGCATGCAATCTAATATCGATAATAAAACTCAGTCAACAAAACTTAACACCCATTTAGCATACGCATTTAACAAACAGTTAATATTCCATCTGATCACTTAATTTGAATTTATCTAGTTTCAATATTTCTAAATGATCAAATTAATATCTTTTTGAGTACTGGATTATCATTGAGCAGCAGGCAATGTGTTTTAGTCTATTTTAATTCCGCTGATCTACAACATACATAAGTGAGGCTAGACATTAACATAAGAGGAAGAGTCCTGAAGAAACACCCATCCCAACCTACTCAGATGCACTTAAAAGCAAATGAGCTAAGCAACAGAAACAAGATTGGAGCATTTAAGATCAACAAGTGAAACAGCCTTGGTCCAGACATGATGAAATGAGCTGAACTCAAGAAAAGATGAGTATGACTCTTCCTTGACATCAAGGCAGCATTTGGTTGATAACAGCAAAGAACCAGAGCAAAACTGGAGTCAATGGAAATTGAGGGTAAAACTCTCCATTGGTTAAAATCAAACCTGACACAAAGAAAGATGGCTGTGGTTGTTACAGCCCATCATCTCAATCCCAGGACATCCGTGCAGTGGGTTCTTCAGGGTTTTGTTCTGAGCCCAACCACCTCTAGTTGCTTCATCAAAGAAGTGGCAACATATGCTGTAGACTGCATAACTTTCAGTATGACTTGCAACATCCCAGATCCTGAAAAAGCTTGTGTCCACTTGCAGAAAGGATTGGACAACGCTCACCTTGGATTGAAATGTGGAAAGTAATACTTGAAGCTCATAAGTTCCAAATCATCACTATCTACAATAATAGAGAATGTAATCATCTCCTCTCATCATTCAACAGTACTATTATTGTTGAATTTCCAACTATCAGCATTCTGCGGTCATTTTTGACCAAAATTGAAATGGAAACTTCCAAATAAATGCTCTGAGTGGAACAGTGGATCAGTGTTTTGGAAATCTGTGGTGAGTAACTCAACCTCCCGACTCTTCAAAGACTGCACAAACTCTGTGGCTAATGTTATGATGTGTTGACATGTACCTTTAGAAAGATATATGTTAAACTACTATGAATCAATACTACCTTGGTAAGATGTCATGTTATTTTTTATGGGAAGAACATTACTAAACTGGAGCGGGTTCAGAAAAGATTTACTAGGATGTTCCTGGGAATGGAAGGTTTGAGTTATAAAAGTAGACTGGAAATGCTGGGACTTTTTTCACTGGAGTGCAGGAGATTGAGAGGTGACCTTATAGAGATTTGTAAAATCATGAGCACATAGATAAAGTGAATAGCAAAGGTCTTTTCCCTAAAGTGAGGGAGTTGAAAACTAGGAGACATATTTTTAAAGTGACAGGAAAAAGATTTAAAAAGAACATGAGAGGCAACATTTTTGCACAGAGTGCAAAGTGTGTGGAATAAACAGCCAGAGGAAATGGTGAATGCAGGTACAATTCCACATTTAAAAGGATTTGGATAAGTACAAGAATAGGAAACGTTTGGAGGGATGTGGGTCAAACACAGGCAAGTGGGACTAGTTTAGCGTCGACTAGTTAGGCCAAAGGGTTTGCTTCCACGCTGTATGATTCTATGACTCTTCAGCACAACGCTGTGAGGGGCACATCAAAACTAAGACCATTCTGATGATTCTAACATTTGTCATCTTAATTCTCTAATACACTCTCATTGTCCTTGACTTCTGACACTAAGCCAAAGAAGGAGTAATGTACAGCATTTTAACATCAAACTGAAATTTTAGATCATCACCACTGCTCCCATTTTCTTGGCCAGCAAGCTTTGGTTCAACTGTAACTATCCCTACTACCTCTTTCTGTTTCTGAACTTTTCTCATTATTGTCTCTTTTTATCATGCACTACCATTCCCTTTGTCATCTTATCAATTCTACCCTCTCTCCATCATAAACTTTCCCCTTTCCTCCTTTTCTCCATAAACATTCCTCATTTCTCCTTTCACTGTGATGAGTGCTATATATAAGATGTAACTCATTAAAAACTTCCTTGAGGCAACCCTCCAAACCCATGACCTCTGCTCCTTGTAAGATCTAGAGCAGTAGATCCATCTGCTCCAACCTATATGATATAGGTCCATGCAGAGTGTTGTTCAGTAAGGCATACACAATTTTGAACCAACAACAGTAAAGGAACAGTGATATACTTTCAAGTCAGGATGAGGTGTGACTTGAGGAGAGGAATATCCCACAAGTCAGTGTTGAAGGCCCAATGGAATTAAATACAGGACTTATTGTAGCAGGAACAGGAGGTGAAGCCTGTTTGAGGGGACATAAAGGAGAGGTGGGGTGGAGACCTCTGATGGGGAGGCCTGTGAAGCTGGACTACCTGCAAAGAGAGGGTCTCCTCTGCACATCAGATTGTTAGACTGGCTCTCTGCAACACCCTGCCCTTGTTTCTGACCCTTCCAGAAACGCTCAAATTCACATATGGTCTTCTCTATGCCGAGGAGTTTGTAGCATGAGTAACAAATACAGTATACCTTTATTAATAGACCATAATACAGGTAATTTTAATACAGTCACATGAACTGCTACATTCATTTTAAACTGACAAAAGATTTGTTTTATTTGAACATACAGTTACCTTTGAAGATTCTGCCGAGTCCTCTGAAATCCATTTGATCAGAACAATTAAAAACAACTACGTATTTTCCAAGAGCTTTGCCCATGTCCTTCACAGTCTCTGTTTTGCCTGTACCAGCAGGTCCAGCAGGAGCCGCCCCCATATTCATCCATAAAGCTTGAGCTAGAGTGATATAGCACCTACAATTAGAACAAAACAAACCATTTACCATTAAATAAAAACAAATGACAATAGCTTTCTATACGATCAAAAAACTTAGTGCTTGGCTTTTCTTTAATGCAAGGCCTAGCCAGCGATGGCCTCATCTGTGAATGAATAAAAAACCTCAAGCCATAAATTTAGAATCTATCATACATATCAGAATTGTGTTGAAGACTGGAAAGCAGTCAAAGTAACAGATTTGTTCGAGCAAGAAAACACTCTTAGTTAATGTAACAACATGTTAGCAAACTCTTAGATTCAAAAACTTAATCAATGCAGACCATAACTTAAACAGCAACACCTGAACTGTGCGAGAATTTGAAGTTGAACCCAGTGATGCCAAGATGGTGCCTTTTCAAACAGGCCAATAAAATTCAACCTCACTGCCCTGGAAATGACTGAGTTCCCTCAAAGCTGACATATTGCAGGATAAAATGTATCTTTAATTAAAGACTTTCCTCATTCAAGTATCAGAACAGCAATAGAAAAACTTATAACTTCAAAAGAGAATGGCAGATTTCAGATCCAAATAACTGACCACACTCGTGTATTCCCAGATACCAGAGGAAAACAAAATGCTAATAGCTGAAATCTCATGCCAGAGAGACTAGGAATTTGTTGAAACCATCATGTATAAAATTAGATCAAACCATTCCTGTTCCCATGTATAATGGGTAACTTTGGTAACTAAAGGTAACTTTGAATGAGTTAAGAATAAAAAAAAACCTGATAATGTTTATAAACTTTCAATTTGAAATGAAAGAGAGAAGGAGAATTGAGATTGATTCATATGTTCACTTTTGCGTTACAACAGTTTAGGCCTTCTAGCCCTCATCCTTTGTATCCAATCTCCAGGCCCCCCACCCCCATTTCCATGGTCCCTTACCTGTTAGGTCATGTTTCCACTACTCATGTCCCAATGGTCCCTTGTAACAATGGGGCTAGACTTTAGGCTACACACAGAACTATATTTCAACACTTGTTTTTGACTAACAGCAGAGACAGAAGGAGAAATGAAATAGAGCTGGAAGCTTTACAGTGTATTTTGGTACACGTGACAATCAATCAATCAATCAGTTAACCAATTGTCTCTCCCTCTGTTTGTTATGCTCATCATCTCATAAACAGTGATCAGTGAAAAAACAAACTGAGAAAACAACCATCTACCAAGAATTCAAAGGTATCTACTGAGTCCGTGACTGCTGAGGGTACAAGTCAACCATGAAACAACTCAAATGTCAGTTTAAGAACCTTACACCTCAAGGATTCTAAAGACTGTTTAAATAAATTGTCTTTATTTTTCCTGTTTGTTGAGAAACTCTCTCTTTTATGTTAATTGTCCATTTTTCTGTGATATTGGGTTCTGTTATTTTTTTCAGGGTTAGTAGGTAATAAAGTTTCTCTTCTTTTCACTCAAGAAAATCTTGGTAATTAGCTCCTTCATTTTCTAGTGAATGAAGCTTTAATTAAAGTGTGAGAGCTGCAAGCTGAAAAGAAATGTTAATAAGGTTGCAACCAACCAAGAGGGGGTTTAAATAAGGAAAGTCAATTCCTCATCCTCACCTGCCTGTATCATAGCCTTTAGGGAATTGTCAGGTGCACACAAAGCCTAAAAAAGAGCAGGGTTTCTTTTTTGAAAAAACTGCAGATTAAAACAATTAAACAGGTTTTATCAGCCCTTCAAGAACATTTGTCTACTCCATAAATTTGTAGCAACACTGTGAGTTGAATCCCTTCCAACATTTATATTTAAATAATATATAAACAAAGACAAAGGAAAAATTGCAGAGATGGTGTAACAGTAAATGCCCTTCATAGCACAGCAGCATCTAACTAAGTGAGAAACCAGGAATCCTTAGCCAATCAGAAGTCAGGAGGGTCAGGGGATAACTATCCAGTGGTTAAGGTCATACATAACCCAAAGAATTTGGATGTTGGTGGCCAAACATCTGAGCCTCAGTATATCTGGCTACAAATGCAGGAAGTGTGTTCAGCTGCAGCTCCTGATTCACTGCATGAAGTAGCTGGAACTGTGGATGGACTCACATTGGAGCATCCATGAGATTGAGAATATCATGGATAATGCATTTAGCCACCTGGTCACACCACCAATAAGGGATAGACAGGCAGAAAAGCATTAAGTGACAACCATGAAGATTAATTGGCATGGGCCAGCAGTGCAGGTGTCACCTGTGGCCATTCCGCTCTCAAGCAGATAGACCGTGCAGGATTCTGTTGGTGAGGGAATGGCCTCTCAAGGGAAAGCAGCCACAGCCAGGTTTGTGGCACCACAGTTGACTCTGCTGCACAGCAAGGGAGGAAAAAGACTGGGAGACCTTTAATGATAGGGACTCCAATGGTAAGAGGAACTGGCAGGTGGATCTGTGCCAAGTTCAGGGACATCTCAGTGCAGCTGCAGGGCATTCTGAAGGCAGACAATGAACAGCCAGCAGATGTGGTACATGCCAGTACCAATGATTTGCGTAAAAGAATGAAATGAGATTCTGCAGTAAGAATTTAGACAATTAGGTAGTAGATTAAAAAGGAAGACTATTAAGATTGTAATCTCCAGATTACTTGCAGTGCCGTGAAAGTATAAGAATATAAGAATAGCCATAGAGGTCATATGAGTGTGTCGCTAAAATGATGGTTTAGGAGGGAGGGCTTTAGATTTTTGCATCTTTGGGACAGTCTCTGGGGTAGGTGTGATCTATGCAAGTTGGATGGGTTGTACCTGAATAGGAATGGGTCTAATATCTTTTCTGGGAGATTTGCTCATGTTGTTGGGGAGGTTTCAAAATAATCTGACAGAGGGATGGAGCACGGGGTAGATGAAAAGTTGGGAACAAGGTCCAATTGGATATAGAAGGAATGCTAGGACAGTCCAGTAGGCGGAGAAACATGGACAGGATAAGGCACCTGGGAGGTCTAGAAAGCTATCTATTTTCATGCAAGGAGCTTGATTGATAAGGTGATGAACCTAAAGCATTGATCAGAACATTATGATGTTATATCGTTGTAATTATTGAGACATGGTTGAAGGAAGGACAGTACCAGCAGTTCAACATTCTAGGGTATAGAAGTTTCAGGTGGGATGGGGGCAATGTAAGAGATGAGGGGGTATTGCATTATTTATAAAGGAAACCATCACTGCAGTAATGAGGGAGAGTGTCCTAGAAAGCTCTTCAAATAAGGCCAACTGCATAGAACTCAGAAATAAAGAAGAGATGAATACCTTGGTAGGATTATACAACAGATCTCCCAAAAGTCAGAGGGAGGTAGACAAGCAGATATGTCGGCAAATCAGAGAAAGGTGTGAGAGAAACAGGTTTATAGTTGTAGAGGACTTGAACTTTGCTAATATTGATTGAGATCACCTTAGTGTGAAAGGATAAGATGGGGTGGAATTTTTAAAGAGCATCCAGGAGAACCAGGTAGTCCTACTAGAGATGGGGCAGTGCTAGACCTAATCCTAAGGAATGAAGACGGTCAAGTGATTGAAGTTTCAGTGGGTGAACATTTTTGGGATAGTGACCATAACTCTGTAAGTTTTGAAGTCATTATGGATAGGGATAAGGATGGTGCAGAAGTTAAGTGTCTAAGTTGGGGAAGGCTGATTTCAATATCATTAGACAGGATCTGACAAACATAGTCTGGGAACAGCTACTTGCAAGTAAGTCTACCTTTGGAAAGTGGGTGTCTTTTAAAAATAGTATTGTAAGAATTTAAGGCCAATGAGTTTCTCTAAAAGTGAAAAGCAAAGGCAGTAAACCCAGGGAACCCTGGATGTCAAGGGATATTGAGTGCTTGATCAAGAAACAGAAAGAAGCACATGTCAGGTACAGCACATTAAAAACAGGGGAGGTTCTTCAAAAGTATAGAGAGTGCTGTAGATTGCTTAAAAAGGAAATTAGAGGGCAAAAACCATGAAATATCTTTGGCAGATGGGATTAAGGAAAATGCCAAGGCTTTTTATTTGTGTGTTAAGCAATAGTGTATTACCAGGGAAAGAATGGGACCAATTAGAGATCAAAGGGGCAACCTGTGCATGGAGCCAGTGGACGTGGGTGTGGTCTTAAATAAATGTTTCTCATCTGCATTCCCAGAGGAGAAAGACATTGCAGCCGGAGATTTCAGTTGAGCTGGTGAGATACTAGAACATGTTAAGATTAACAAGGAGGAGGCATTAGATGTTTTAGCGGGCATACAAGTGCATAAACACCCAGGTCCTGATGAGATGTACCCCAGGCTGCTATGGGAGGTGGGGGAGGAGAATGCTGGGGCCGACAGAGATATTTAACATTATGCTGGCCGTAAGTGAAGTGCCAGCTCACTGGAGATGGAGCAAATGTGGTTCCTTTGTTCAAGAAGGGCAGCAGGGATAGACCAAGTAGTTACAGAGCAGTCAGTCCGATGTCAGTGGTTGGCAAATTATTGGAAAAACTTCTGAAGGATAGGTTTATTCAATACTTGGAGAGGCAGGGATTAATTACAAATAGTCAGCAGAGGTTTGTTAGTCCTATCTGACTAATTTAATTGAGTTTATTTGAAAAAGTGCCTAAATATACTGATAGGGATAGTGCCGTTGATATAGTTTACATGGACTTCAGTAAGGCCACTGACAAGGTCCCACATGAAAGGCTGATCCAAAAAGTAAGAGCTCATGGGATCCAAGGCATGTTAGGAAAGTGGATCCAAACTGGCTTACCCATCAGATGGAGAATTACATTTTGTCATAGGAAGCCTGTGACCAGCGGTGTGCTGCAGGGATTAGTGCTGGGACCATTGCTGTCTTTAATATACATTAACGGCTTGGATGTGAATGTTTAATTAATAAGTTTGCAGATGAAATGAAAGTTAGCGGTGTTGTTGATGGTGAGGAGGATGGTCTCAGACTACAGTCTGATGTTGGTCAGCTAGTATATTTGGCATAGCAAAGACAGATGGAATTTAATCCAGACAATTGCGAAGTGATGCA